CCGGTACTTGGAATCTCCTTCGATGCGTTTCTTCTCTTCAACTCCAACAACCTTTAGGAGCTTCATCTTGCATAGATGCTGGAATTTCTTCGATTACAATAAGCCCATCATGATTAGTGACGGGAGCTTCCATGGAGCCGATTGTGATAACCAATCGAGTCCTAGCTCTTAGTGGGGGAACGACAGGAATCTCAACCTTCTTAATCACATAAACTTGCTGCAATGGTGCCTTTCCCGACTCTTGTGGAGTCAAAGTCCTAGAGGTAATCACACAATCTTGACTTGTACCGCTAGAGCTTGATTGACAATTGTTCAATCGGCTAAAGACAGAGGGTCTTGGAACTGAACCAGCAGGATCTCCCCACCTTTGTTGGCTATGCACGGGTGCTGCCGGAGGATACAACACCCAAACTCCATAAGGACCCCATTGCAGTGTAACCAAAGGAGGAATCAGGGGACCCCAGCGAGAAACACGAGGAAAAACTCTCTGAGACAGAGCTATTGGTTGCACCACTGTCAATTGCTTGATCTTGTCATCTTCCCGCTTAGGCGGAGTAGACTCTTTTTTTTTAAATGGCCGATTCTGGGAATCGGCCTTTTGTTGCTTATACTTGGTCATGAGCCTGTTAGAGGTGCATTGCTCCTTCATGAACTCTCCCTGGTTCTTCTTCTCATTGGTCTTCCAGGTGCCAATCTCCGGTCGCTGTGGAACAAATGTGCGCAAAACACGAACACCATAGGCACCGGAGCTGTTGGAACCAGGGGAGTTGGCTAAGCCAACTGGCGCAGTCGACTCAGCTGACTTGGCTAAGGTGGTGGCAGAGTCAGCTAAGCCAACTCCTTGAGTTGGTTGAGCCGATTGGCCCTACTGTGTACTGGAGTCGGCTTGGCCAACTGGTGGAGTTGGCCTAGCCGACCTCTGTTGTGCCACCGTTGTTTCATACCACCGCTGCCTTTTCAAATATTGCGTTGATCTAGCGGTGATCTTCAACTTGTTCTTGCCTTCATCATCCTTCTCAAGCACCACTTTGCACCCCGAATTCGTTTTGACATTCGGTGCTACACGTGGTTCGCCGATAATCACGTTCTTGCCTTGGGCTTTATCGGCTTGCTCTAGACAAATCAAAATAGCGGGCGCCCGTACTTCAACCATGTGCATGGGAAAAGGGGTCTTATCAACTTGCATTTCAGTAAGACTCACTCGTCCCTCATTAAGGGCCGATTAGACCTGCCGACGAAAAACATTGCAATCATTAGTGGCATGAGAAAAAGAATTATGATATTTGCAATAAGCCCTTCTCTTTAACTCATCAGCTGAAGGCAATGTATAATTGATTCTAATATAACTGAATTTCAACAATTCATCAAAGATTCGATCACATTTAGAGAAATCAAAAGTAAATTTCATTTCCTCATTCTGATTTTTATGAATCGACTTGAGAGAAGGACAAGTAACCAATTTATTCTCTGCTGGCCATTTAATTTCAGCAGCTAAACATTCTTTATTATCATCATCAGAATCATCGGAACAATCACCAACAAAATGCACATTCTGACGATGAGATTTATAAGCATCACGAGACTCTTTAAGGCGCGATTCAATTGAAATGGCATTTTGCATAAGTTGATTAACATTGTGAAACTCATAATGCTCAAGCTTTTCTCTAATACTAGAACGTAAACCAGCAAAGCATAAATCAGTTAAATCTCTTTTAGAAATATTTAAATGGAAACATCAGTTCTTAATCTCTCTAAATCATTTGAAAAAAATCATGGACGGACTCTTCACGCCCTTGACGAACTGATGCAAGATGAGACAATCTTGTTTTATAAGCACCGCTATCAAAGTGATTATGAAATTTCTCTTCTAATTCAGCCCATGAACCAATAGAACAAGATGGTAATGAAGTAAACCATGCAAAAGATGTGCCAGTAAGAGATAAAGGAAAATTATGAACTTTCATAAAATCATAAGCACTAGCTTCACCCAATTGTGCAAGAAACATGCTAATATGCTCCATTGTTGATTTACTATCATCACCACTAAATTTTTGAAAATCAGGTACCCTCCACTCATCAGGTGCTTTGATGAAATCATAAGTAGAAGGGTACGACGTTTGATAAGTATTCCTACTAGATTTAAGTTGCACTCCTAAACTACTCTCAAGAGATTTAGCCAATTCATCCTTAAACCGATTCAAAGCATCATCAAAATTGGTAGTAGGAGCATTAGGAGTAAGATTAAATGTAGAAATTTGACTAGGTGACTTCGGTGGGTTTGGTAAAACATTATGCCCCGCCGAAGCTCTATTTGTTGATGCTCCATAATCGGTTCGAAGAGCTTGACCCGAACTTTGTGCACCAACACCTATACGTGTAGATGTGCTAGCACCAAGTTGACCGGCCTTATCAGTTTCAGATGCCAAAGGGTCCGATTGAAATTGGCTAGCGGAAACATGAGATGTTTGATTTTCATAAAAATTCAAAGGCATACCGAATTGAGGTTGCTGCACGGCACCCGATTGATCACAATCGGTTGTCTTGCCCTCTAACTTATCCATACGTGCTTGAAGTAGATTAGAAAGATGCTAAAGGTTATTACTATGCAATTTTCTTTCATCTACCAACATCTGAGCAAAATTGGCATGAGTAGGATAAGCATCAGTATTTACCTCCCCGTCATACTTAGCTTTTCCGTTGCCCTTCTCATTGGCGTCTAAAGATTCGGAACCGGTAGCATCACCGTAGGAGGGTTCATGGAACTGAGTGACCTTGTCGTGCCGATTCTTGGTGCAGCTCTCCAAGAAAGCCTTGACATCGACATCGAGCTTGGCCTGAAGCTTCTGGCATAACTCATCTGGAAGATCGTCCATGGATTGAGGAAAGATCATGTTAGCCTTATTGAAGGGGCTGGTCGTGTCACCCTTATCGGAGGCAGCACCATCATTGCCTCCCATGTTGCTAGTAGATTGATTTTTGATTCGCTTCGCTTTCTCCAGCGGAGTCACCAAAAAGTATGTTGACGTTGAGGATGACCCCAAACCAACACACCAACAAGGCCTTGGATGCCCAAAGAGGTTGCACACAACCTGCAACGCAGCAAGAGCACGGCGTAATCAATCAAACCAATCTAAAGACCGATGAGACCGATGTAGAGCTTGTTCTTGGCCGGAAAAGCTCCCGATCTTCTCCTAGGAAGACCCATCAGGGAGGAGCACGTGGAGGATCTCTTAGGACCAGTAAGGCCGCCTAGGAAGCCACTAAATCTCACTAGGAAACTCAACGAACAGCAAGAGGGGTTGAGAGAGGGGAATTAGGGCATAAGGAGTTGATAGATTGGTTTGTATGACGATTGGATAGATAGGAACTCAATCGGCCATGATCCTCTCATATATATAGAGGGGTGGTCTTATCCCAGTAGAAAACCTCTCCAAGCCTTATTTTCTAAGTTTCCCACGAGTTTGGAACAGTTCGGATCGGAATCCAAAAGACCAGATCCGAACAGGATTTTTCTGTTAGGTATGTCGAAAGTCCCGACTTGGGTCGGAACTCCAGACAGTCAGAACTTCTGACTTTGGTCGGAACTCCTAACGTATGGATAACCCTGGACACCTGAGCATATTTCTTCAGGCTTTCCATAAGCCCCGACACCCGTCAGAACTTCTGACAGTAGGAAGTTCAACGAGACATCTTTTCGAGGGCATAACTTCTTCATCCAGACTTCGAATTAGACGTTCCATATATGTTTTTTGACCGTCTCGATGAGAGGAACGCAATGGTAAAGTACGTTTCACATTTTAACAACTTCACAAAATAGACATTTTTGGTTGTCAACAGACTTAGTTGTCGATGTGCCATGAATTGGTATGTCTGCTTTGTGTTTATGCCAAGAGCGATCTCTCATTTTTTTTCAAATTGCGGCCTTTGACATTGGTGCAAGCATATAGGATGGAGTCACATTTATTTAGACATAATAACTGGACAACAACTACTTATAGTTTGATTAGTTGGACCATCAGTTGAACTAGATTAAAATAAGGCAAGTATTGTTCGTGTAGTTTGTGCAAGTTGTGTGCCGAAGTTTGTCACACCAAGCCTTCGGCAAACTGTTGTGGCCATAGAAAATGTGACGAGTAAAATCAAATCAACATTTGTGACAAAGGTTGACACCAAAATGAATCTATGACATCTGGATCAAGGTCCTAAGAAAATATAACATGTCATGCACGGTTGTGGCATTGAAACACGACAAATAGACCTGTATTTTTTTTGTTTTTTTTAATAAAGTCACTTTGGCTAGTCGATACTTGAAATAGAGGTAGCATGCTCTCCATTGAGTTCCAGACGCCACTGGCGCAAAAAAAAGAGTTCCCGACGCCACGACGATATATCTATGTGAATGACATTGCCGCAAAAAACATGCAAATGATTTTATAGTACAACAACAAACAAATTATTTTTCTCTGTTTTTGCCTAACACAAATTTCGAGCGTCGATCAAACAACGTTGGAATTCTTTAAACCATTGAAGATCGAAGAGGCTCAATGCAAATTCGTTCCATGGGGGAACGACTTTTGAAAATCGTCCTCTGGGACTGCGACTGATATATACATTACCAAATATTTTTATTTTCAACAGATAGCTTTTCTTGTATAATAATAATAATAATAATAATAATATATAACTCGTATGACGGGTAGACGAAGCTAAGAGAGAGGACAATGCAAACTAGATCTCACGTTGCAAATCAAGGGGCCTGTTCGCTGGTTGGTTTCTGGGCTGATAAGTCCGACTAGTGCTGGTTTGTTATGAGAGGAAAACACTGTTGGCTGGCTGATAAGCCCTTCCTGAAACCAATAAGCGAACAGGCTGAAGGACTTCAAAAAGATGCTATAATCTGTATCTGGAAATTGGAAAATCGACTTGCGAAGATCGAAGAAGCTGTGTCGCTGAATGGTATCCCTGAACAGGAGGGCATTTAGGTGACTATGACAAAAAATCTACCCGTCCTCCCGAGGATCACTGATAACCTGGATTTGCTTGAGCAGCCTCTTGTTTGAAAGATCATATAGCCCCACCCAACTGCCGCTGCTGTCTTGCAGAACAATAATCACGTCATTGTTGTTATTCTTGTGCCGACCAGCGTTGGCGTTGATCACCCAGCGCGTTTGCAGAAATGGCGGCGGCAAGCAGTCTACCCGGTGGCGGTGCGCCCAGCTCTCATCGTCATCGTAGTCCTGGAGCACCCAAACGTCCATGGAACCACCGAGGATGGCTGCCACGGCCACCATCCCGTCCATCTCCCACTAGTACAGGAATGGTTTCTAGGAGCGGCTGGTGAGGCTTTATAGAGGCGGCTCGGCCAGCCGCTCCTACCATACCGTTTCTACACCGTCTCTATAAATCGATTTACAGGGGCGGCCGTAGTACCAGCCGCTCCTATAATACCTATTTGTAGGGCAGGTTTAGTCTAGAATCGTCCCTACAGTATATTTTTCCGTAAAAAAATTCAAATTTACAATTCAAATTCGACCAGAACACACATATATATATAATTCAAATCTGACCACAAGCACAAGAGAATTATATAAACTACCATTACAAGTCCAATTCACAAGAATATATACAATCCATCATTAAATAGACATAATTCACAAGTCTAACTCATTCCACAAGTCTAAACCGTCCCACAAGGTAAGACCAATGTCAAATTCCATACACATTGTTATCAACGGCCTAGAGCTAGCCTTTCAGTCTCACGAAGGTGTTGGTACTGAGGATTTCTACCTAAGTTAGAATCTCGATCATGGTAGGTGCATTTGACGTGTACAATCTGGTCTAATATGAAGTTGCAAAGGTCGCCGGCGAGCTCTAAGAGTTGATCATCCTTGTATGGGTCTCTTTTCATTTCTTTCTCTTATTTCCACTATAAGAGAATAAATTTTGGTTTAGTATTTCATATCATGTGCGAAGTTTATATACTACGGGTGAAAATGTTCAAACTTACCCTTAAGGGGTGTCTCCTGTAGGCACCGGTGTTACTCATCATAGAACATACATATTATCCACAATGTACACTCTCAGACTTCTGCTTGGGGCATTGTGTGTTTTGCATATGGAAATGTTAAGTAATGCTTTTGACAGCCATGTAATGGAGTACTAAAGTAAGTTACACTTACTGCACATAGTATTTTTATAGCCAGTCTTTCCTTCCTTACTAGATCATGCCTTTCGTGATGTTTATTGACATAGAACCTGAATGTCCTGTTTGAATTATTTTAGTAAATACAATTTGTTAGTATCCAAAAGTGAACGTTACAAGTATGTATACAAACATATAAGCTAATGAGAATTATCGATATGTATACGTCTTGAGAATTGATATGAAGTCTTTGTATATCACCGGGTCCCAATCTATTGAATCAAAGACCCATGCCATGCTCCTCCCGACATCGACGCTTATATAAATCTATTGGTTGCTGCATGAATTTATTCATAGAACTAGATAAGCTCTTTTGCATCGAATAAAATATATCGAACAAAGCTTTAAGTATGGAGTTGAACTTACTCGAATTTGTATGGTAGCCATATATTAGAGTGATGTTAGAGATTTTTAAAAGCCAGGGCAATGTATGTCGAAACCTTAAGCGACTTTTGCCTTAGTTTCTTCGTACGGATGTCCTCTTTCTCCTAAAGGGTCTTTACAGCAGCTAGCTCTTTGGCATCCAGTTTTCACTGTCTAGGGTAATTAAAATTTGTTTGTGCTATAGCTTAAGGGTCTATATACCCGGCTTTCACACTTGGCATTTATTTTACAATGTGCACTTGCATTCTACAAATCACGGCGTGGGTTAGTTACAACAAAATCCAAAGATTACATTCATATCATATCGGGAGGGCAAGGACTTACAGGCACCACGTACGAATTAGATTCATTTCCATTGCTCCGAGGTGAAAGCATGTCTGCATGTCATTGAAGTCAAAGATAATTTTCTCGGCTGGGCTTCCAAATGTGTCGGTGGGGAAGCATGCTTGTACGAGGTCTATGCTCGTTTGGAGAACACGTAAGTACCAATCATGGAATCTTCTCAATCCAAGTGGTATGCGCTAGATGTCCCGGTTTGGTAGAAAGGGCTTGCCTCTTTCATATGTTTTCGGGCAATCCTTTGACCATTTGATGGCATCAACATTTGGATACTTCTTTGCTATTTGGTGGACTTTGCTAGTGACGTCCTCCTCAGAAGCCCGTGTTGGGACTTTTTTAACTTGGTTCTCAGGCTTGAACTGGTCATGGGCATACCACTTGTGCATCGACGAGACATCTTTCATCGGAACATAAATTGGCCTTATGGTGATTGGATGCTTCTTTCGAAGTTCTTATTCAGGCACGTCCTCATCTTCTTGTGCATCACCTTCTTCAGGAGGCACTCGTTGTTTATGTATCGGCTACGCTTATTGAGAAGACTGTGGTATCTCATCATGCACTTGCTCGGTACGAGCTGGAGAAGGTTGTGTCTTATCAGGCATATGCTCGCTAGGAGGTGGGGAAGAATGTGGCATCTCAGGAATGTGGTAAGTTACAGGTGTGATATGTATCTTTCATGGACGGTTTAGTGAACATGACTTAACATCTATGACTGATATATCTCTTCATTTCCATTTCCTAAGACTGTAAACATGGTGTTATATTTGCCTCGATTCATTTGAGCTCAGCATATTTTTCTTCATTGGACTATCTAGTCCCTTCGGAAAGTTAATTGCCTTTTCTTTTGGGAAAGGAAACTAAAATATGACTAATGTGCAACTTCTGGGGCCAATGCGTGGCTATCTCACATGATCTTCATCCCTTTGGAGCCGATGCTTCCAGACCTTAACTAGTAGACTTTTGGGATGCCTTGCATGCTCTCTTTTTTCTAGTGGGACATTTTCTTCAATGCTACTTTTTTGGTTCTTTATATATTTCCTAGTTTTGTGTATTAAAGTTTTTTTTTCTAGTATGTTCTGATAAACTGTTTCTGTGTTCACACTCTTTCTTCCTTTTCCTCAAGTGACAATCAATTTAGAGATAATGGGCAACATCCCTTGAATAGCTGATCTCTGCAAGCTATATTTATTTGCAAACTCACAAATGGTTATGACACTTGGATACATTTTTCTGTTTATTGTAAAGTTGAGGTGGGAATAATATATTACTCCCTCCATTCCAAGACTTTTTGGCTTTTTTAGATATGTTGCTTTTACTATGTATCTAGACATAGTGTATATATAAGTGCATATCAAAAGCTATGTATCTTAAAAAAGCCAAAACATCTTATAATTTTGAAAGGAGGGAGTACCTTTTTCTATTAAAAAATATTATCTTATCAGAAACATTGAAATTCCTAAGTCTGTAAAAAGAAATGCAGTTATGTGTCCTTGTGAACTGACAAAATATATTGTGATGTGCTCCATCTGGTCGAATGTGGAGGTCAATTATAGAAGCATGGCTTCATATTACATCAAACATTATTATGGCCTTGTCCTAAGATTCTTGATTTAAGTATTAATTTTAGGTCTTGAGCTTCATTCAGAACTGCATTGAAATATTCCATATAAACTTGTTACTGAAACAAGTTGAATTTATGTGGCTACAAACACCAAAAATGGCAACATAAATTTTTCACACAAGGAAGAAAATTAATACTTAAATTGATCACCTCCACTCTAAGCTCACCTCTAATACTGAAGGTTGCATGTCACCGGTCCAAGACAACAACAAAGAAGTTCATCAAACTATTTCATCAAACTATCTTATGTATATAGTATATCAGTGGTCAATATAACTAGTTAAGTGAATGTGGCTTGGTTATTTGCTTATATGGTACAGTAGGCGTCAATCATCAAATTAGACCGTTCAAATACCCCAGCACATACTTACTTGTGTGTGTACATGGATGCATGATAGAACATCATTGTAGGTAACCAAAGGCCCAACCATGCTCAGGGGATCATAGGGATACCCTAAATGCAACTAGATAGACATTTCCCAACTTCACAAGCTAATACAACTGGTTGATAGCAATAGAAACGTAATCAACAATTCAGACTAGGCAAACAATGCAAACTTGAGAAACGCTGCTTGCAATCCATCACACAAGACCTGCAGGGTCGGGGAATGGAGAAGGGGTTGGGAGTACCTATAGAAGACCTGACAGAGAGGGACGCCGGTGGCTGTGCGCGGTGGCCTAGGATCTAGACGGCGGAGAGCACGGGCAGCCAGGCCGCCCGTCGTTGGAGGAGCACGGATGCCAGAGAGCACGGGAGGAGGCGGTGGCAGATGTAGATGTCGGAGAGCGCGTGTGGGCCGACGAGTTCGGTGGTCGAGGTCGGAGAGGGAGCGTCGGTGGCGGGGACGCCAGCTAGAGCACGCGGCCGAGCTGGCGAAGCTCAAATCCTAGCCCCGCCGAAGTCGTCAAAGCACGCACGTGGGCTGACGAGGTCGGAGGTACAGGTCCTAGACAGGGCGGTGGCAGGGCGGCTGGCACTGTGAGCTCGATCTAGCAAACCCTAGCCGCCCAGGCGGCCTATGGAAAGGCGGCGGTTGGGGAACGGTGGACGAAGGTGCAGTTAGGTGAGGATGGAGGAGGTCAGAGAAGGCAGTTGTAGGCCACGAAGACGGCAGCGGCGGCAATGGGGGCGGCGGAGAAAAAATTTGGCAGCCTGTCGATGTCCGAGAGGAAGAAAGCATCTAGGACTTAGAATAACTTTGGCCTCCCGCAAGCTGTTGCTTATATACCGAAGGTCATTTGTAGAGGCGGCTTAAAACATCAGCTGCCCCTACAAATCGATTTGTAAGGGCGGTTCCTGAGTAAGTCGCCCCTACAAATATTTTTCAATTTATTTTAATTAATAATTTTATAATTTATATATAAAGAACACAATGTAAATTTATATAATACTTTTTTGATTATATTATATATGTATAAATATACATATAAACAATTTCATGATATATATATATAGATATAATTATATATTTTGTTCTTTATAAAAAGAATATTTTAAAAATTGAAAATTTGAAATTTAAAACAACTAAAACAATTTCATCTCCACTAAATGACCTCAAATAAAAATTTTGTAAATATCAAAGTTGTAGAACTCATCAAGAAGTATAACTTATATTTTGGTCATCTTTTTATTTGACCAAATTTAAACAGTTTAAAATTTCAATTTCAATAAATATCAACTTCAAATAAGATTTTGAAACCTTAAATAATTTCAAATAAGAAAGTCATGATGATAATATTTGTTGAACACTATC